GAGAAAAAATGTGAGATTTTCTTCTGAGCTTGATTTATTTCACTTAACATAATGATCTCCAGTTCTACCCATTTCCTGTTGTGTGTCATAATTTCATTCTTCTTTATGGGTGCATAATACTTGTGTGTGTGTGTGTGATCTCACATTTTCTTTATCCATTCATCAGCTGATGGGACAGTGGCTTGATTTCAGAGCTTGACTACTGTGAATAGTGCTGTAATAAACATGGGTACACAGGTATCTCTATTGTATGCCGATCTTTTGGACCTTTTGTAATCCCTTTTCTGTCCAGAGGCAACACTTATGGACTTTCTGGCACTATAACTAGTATTTTCTAAAATTTTATATAAATGTAATTCATATAGCAGATACATTTTGATGTATATTTCACTCTAAGTAGCTCATAATTTTATTAGTGCAAAGTGTGTCCCATATGAAAAAAAAAGGAAATTTTAAGTCTAAGTTGAGAGCAACACATGGAGCATGCAGCTTGATATTAAGTATGATAACTGTGACATCTTTCCAGACCATTTAATTTGCATACACATATACATAACCTGTGATGAGGAGGGGCCTTACCTGCACTGAGCAAGTGGCTGCAATAACCCCATCAACAGGGGTTTCAGAGAAGGGATCAAATGTCCGGTCAGGCCGCCTCATGAAATCTGGTTTTGAGAAGGTACCTGGTAGGACAAACCCAAGTTTATTTTACTGTGCTTCTATAAAGACTAAAATCACTATTTGAAGCACTGAATACTTTCTTTTCCAATCTGTAACTTAGAATCTAGGCTTTTCATCAGAGGATCCTAAAGGATTGGAAGCAAGATCTTTTGGACAATCCTGAAGAGCATCAGACAATAACATCTGCCACACAGGGTGTGTTGTGTTCAAAGGAAATAATGCTCCTTTGCTTGAATAAGGTGGGGGTAGTAGAATGATGAAGATGCTTTCCTTTGACCAAACTGTAGGCAGGCTGTTGAATCCTCTCTCACTTGGCCAACTTTGGCCTTCCTTCTCTGTTCTCAGAGTGCAGTTTGAGCAGAATTTTGCAAATTCGCATTTGTTCATATGTGTTTGGCCCTTTTCTTCCACTATGTAATTTTTATTTCTTTCAAAGTACACAGCAGGAAAATGTAGTACATGCTCTATGTAGGCTGGTGGATGATTTGATGACAGGGCTGTCACTTGTATTGTGTGGGTGCACTGGAGAGAACAGTGTGGCAGCAGAGGTACCGAATGTACATTTTGAAGAGCCATTCCTGCCCAAACTGTGTTGATCTTGATTGGTTGTTTTTCAGTACGAAATTTAAGATTTCCTATACGTAAGCCCAGCCAGGAAACTTCCTGACAGTTCTTTAGAAGGACAGTACTTCATTTGATTAGTCTAGACTTTGGCTATGGCCTGGGATCTTACTCTTTAGTGACAGATAATGGAAAAATGACCACGAGTTTATTTATTCGCTTTATAGAATTTTAGTTACATTTCCTTTTAGTGTTTCCATGAAACTAACATTTCCTTTTTACTTCTTGGTTCCAGATTTTAAGAGTACTGTTTTAAGTAAACTAGAACACATTTGTGGTATTATAAAACTTCTATTTATAAGACACCAAAAGATCAAGAGAAGACAAAGGTTTAATCCGACTGGATTTAAATTCAACTTGACAATATAATTCATTTATATGAAATTAACTTATTTCAGTATTTATCAACAGTAAAGATACACAATGTGTAATGTCTAGTCTCCAGTTTAATGTCCAAATGAACTCCTGTTCATTACCTTGCCTCAGATATAAAAACCTCCAGTATTGAATTAAAGTGAGAGAATTAAACTCTAGAGTGTGTTTGAAATGTTGCTGAACTTGTGGTCAAAGATAAACTTTTTTAAAAATGGGGTAGACTAAGAATGTATATTTAAAATATAATCTATCTAGGGATTTCATTTACTTCTATCTCTTCCTCCAACCCACTTGACATTCAGTTGCTGCCTAATTAAAAAATAAAATGTTTCATTAAGTCTGTAGTATAGATCTTAAAAACTAGGTGACAACAGTTTAAATCATATTACTCACCCGCATGATCCATTATACTCAAATTTCCCTGATTCAATTGCATTGCTAAGTCTGTCAAGAGACAAAAAATAATTTCAGCATCTCATTCTCTGGACAAAAAAAGAGACTGTCAGGTGATTTGAAACAATGGGAATCAGATTATTTTCAGGTCAAATTCTCTTTTAACACCCAAGGTATGCTGGCTTGGTTTAAAGCATGTAAGTCCCCATGTTGAAATGATTAGTTTACATTAGCATAAATGTGTTTTCATAAGGATCATCCTGAATTGTTTAAAAAGTGATTCAGTACAGGTGTTGATTTATTTATTCAATGTTGAGAACCTGCTATTGTTAGAGTATGCCAGAGACAGCCAAAAGGTCAGCGATGAATGTAAAACTTGATTTAAAGAAACCACAGAAGCACTAAGTATGGATCACATAAAAATGGTTGTTTTTCCAGCAGGAGACTTAGAGAAGTTCTGCTTAGAGGTGTCTTCACGTCAGGGACTGGCTTATGATTTTTCTCTTAAGGGGACAAATTTTTAAATTTCTTCCATCAGCAAAATAAATGGTTAATGGATGGTTTTTTTCTTCTTCAAAATGTTTTGGTTAAAACTAACAACAAACAACATCATAGAATAAACATAAGCTAGCTTAATGGTTAAACTATTTTAGGATCACACAATTCCTATTACAGACCCCACTGTAACTGGGAATATAGCTTGATCCCCTCATTAAGGAAGGAAAACCAGCAGTGCCTTTTTGTTTAGTCCCTGCCAAAGACACTTGGGATTGTCTTGGTACTAGTCACAGTCACATCTAGCAAGGACTATCAGCACACCATGAACACCAGGAGCTCTAGTCACCCAGCAGGCTCCCCCAGGGGTGGGAAATACAGTGAGCTCATGCTAAAGCCAAAGAGATGAGTCAAAGGACCTTTCAGTCAGTCCAGATAACAGGGCACAAGGTGGCCAGGGATTATCAACGTATGGTAGATGCACTAGAAAAGGAAAAGGTTCCCAAATTGGTAGATATGGTTGATAGTCTCATATAGGAAAGGACTGAAGAAAAAAGTTTTTTTTGTTTGTTTTTGATTTTGGGTTTTCTTTTATTTTACAAATGTTAGAAGCCATGCTAAAGAATTAAATATATAAAATAAATATATTTGGTGGCCTATTTCTATCTCTTCTCTTTGTATTTTGCTATCTCTAATATTAACACTGTGCTCTTAGGTTTTAAAACAAACTTTGGAAACTATAAAATTTATGTTTATGCATTTATAAAATTTATTCCTTTTTTCAGGAAAAAAGACCATTGTATATTGAAAACTTACTGCTGAGTACACATTGAAGGATCAATTTATAGGCGTATCTCTAGAAATATGTAAGTCCTTACACCACTTGGCACAGTTTATACCATATATTCTGTATTTTTATGGAGAGGTGCCACTGTCATTAATATCTACTATATGTCACAGTGGTTAGGGTACTTCTCAAAGGAGAAATGAGTCTAAATCACTGTAGAAAGATACTCAAATTCTTCTCACTTAATTTTTCCTCTGGAAATAAAAATAACAAGTTTTGTTCTGAAAGGAAGAAAACTTAAAATGTTTTAGAAGAGGGGACAATGTTTAGCAGAACAGTCACGGCATTTACGGAGGAAATTTCAATACCACTGTTCATTGGTCTATTTGGAATTTCAATTTTCACCATTATATAAATCCAAGCAAATATCGATTGCCAGATGTCTGCTTCTTTTAAAAAATGCCAAGAGCACCTGTCAAAGCACTCTCATGGAATTCAGGGTGACTGGACATCAGTTCCTACCTGGGGTTTGATAGTTCAGTGAAACCATCTGGCAGCCAGCGTTCCAGAAAATCTGAGGCATATAATTACTGGAATCAACTCGGCCTCCTTGGGTAAATGCGACTCATCTGCCGTTTGTTATAACTGTGTAACTTATTAAGGAATTAAAAAAAAATGATACTAGATATTAATGACAAAGAGCAAAACAACAGAGGTGTAAGCCAACAATAACAAATATGCAGACAAAACAAAATAATTTCACTTTTAAAAATAATACTTAGGAGAAAAAAAATCATAGTTCACTATGTGAATTTTAAAGAGAAATTCTATGTGGGAAGATTGTCAACGGGTGTCATAGATTTTCACACATAGTATTTATTAACTTTACAATCAAATTTACATAATAGCCACTGATCTATTTTCAGAAACCCCACCAAATCAAAAGGACACTGATCCCTCATTCTACTTATTACATAAGGATACTTTACAAATTCAATTGCATGTGTCTTCAAGTAGCCAAGACCAACGGATTCATTAAAGAAGACATGTTATAATGAATGTTACGTTCTGTAAAAGAAAAGATGCATTCAGAAACTCTGCTGTCCAAACCTTATAGAAAGACAAATAATAAATACAATTACATCTTGAATCAGGAAGCTTTGGTGGCCAATATTATGTCATTGTGTCAATTGCTCCTAGTTTCACTAACTAGGACTAAGTGTGGTGAATTTTAAATTTGGAGCCATTAAACAGGTTACATATACCCCAATGCCACAGCCACCCTAAATATATCTTTTTGATGATAATGATGATATGGCTTCTTCAGGCTAGAAATGATTTGAAAAGTTTTTAAATACTTTCCATGTTTTGGGAGACTGGATTTTGAGTAAAAGAAGTTTTGTGCCATAGAACACCACAACTTATCTCTATCCCACTGCATTGTAACACTGTAAGCTACCCATTGTGTAGCTTCTCTCCACTTCTTCCCTTCCTTTTCCAGGTAATTACTAATTACCCAGTGTACACATGGATCAAAACATTGCACAGTACCTTATATTTACGTGCAATATTATATGTCAATCAAAAAATAAATTAATTTTTAGAAAAAGAAAAAAGACAAGCCCTTTGAAAGCAGAGGCAATGCAAGAGGCTCAGAAGACCAGTCTCTCAGGCCACCATGTGGATGATGTAGAGAATAACAACACAATACTATGGCAAGAAAGGACATGGGACTATATAGTCTATGAAGCAAAATGAGATGAGGAGGAACAGTCTCCATGCCCCAGAAGAAAATGGCAATAAGTCGATCAGAGTTCAATCAGCAAAACAAAAGAGAAGCAGACAAAAAAGACTACAGTATTTAACCTTTGGTGTTACCTTCAGCCACATGGAAACCTTGAAACTTTACAGGCTGTGCATAGTTGATCATGGTAGATAAATATGGATGGATATTCGTGGTAGCACCTACGTATTTATAAGATGCATCCATGCCTGCTCATCTTCCACAGTAACAGGCCCTGTGAGCACAAGGAAGAGAGCATATAATGAACATATATGGCTTTAGTAGAACTCAGTTCTGTGGTGCAGACTTCCTTGGTGAACTTTTTGTAACTCAACTGTGTTAAAAAGTAATTAAAATTTTAGTATCCATTATAGCGCCAACTAATGCAAAAGCAGGAATCAGAAAATATTCAGCTTATCTTCCATAATGAGGACAATGTTAAATTTTCAGAAGACTTTAAACTGGGGCCTCATAGCAGGCTATAGACAGATATAGTAATAGCGTCATTCATATTTTACAAGCTGAAGCACAAAGTGGCTCTCCAACTTTAGTGTGTGTCAGAGTCACCTGGAGGACTTGTTAAAGCACAGATTCCCAGGTCCCATCCTCAGCACTTCTGCTGAAGTGAGTCTGACTGAGTCCCAAGGATTTGCAATTCTATAATTACTTTCATGTGCTGTGAAGAGCTGGTTGGGGGACTACATTTTATAGTAGCATTGCTGTAGAATTTCAGGCACACACAGAAATGTTTCATGGATGTTTTAAAACAACACTTATTGTTAAACAACAAGATAACCTGCTACATAGGCTATTCTGAAATTGCATTACTTTGCACTGAAGGAAAAAAGTCAAATCATTATCTCTATCTTGAGAAATCAGAGCAAAACTAATAAAACCAGCAACAAAAAATAAGTCCTACAAATGATCTAAATTTTGTTGAGAACTCTGAAAAGCTAAATTCCCTGCAGCGATTAAACCTTGGTGGAAAAATTGCTTAGTCACGTAATGTCACCCATGAATAAAAGAAAGGTCATACCACTCACGATCTAACCTTCTGAGCATTCCAGATCATCAGACTGATCTCACAATAAAAGCCAGTGACAAATAATCAATAAATGTAAACTCGTTTTTCTCACGTTTTATGCCTCAATCTCCTACTCCCAAATAAGGGCAAGAGCCATGGGCACCAGAATGGATTCCTGCCTACACAGTTTCTTTACTCTCATGATGTGCCATATGGAATAGTGACCTCCATTGACCACTAAGATAGAGTCCTTGAGAGCTAAAAAAACATTTAGCAAATAAATGATCAAATGTCAGCTGGTCTGTGCACTGCTGAATCTACCACCTTAAGAAATTTCAGTCTAACTGTATCCTTATAAATATCATAGGGATCACTAATTTGTCTATAATTCCTTCAAATTTAATATTTAGACAGTAAGAAGATAGGGCTTCACTTTAACTACAATGGGATCCACAGACAGCAAGGCAGTGTGAAGCTGCATGAAGTATGAGTCAAGGTATAAGGCAAATTGCTACCAGTGACTCTCATGCATTACATCACTGATAATAAGCCATACATAATTATTTAAGGCACTTTGATCATCATAAAGAATTTTGAAGAGGATAAAGGAAATGAAAATGTAACTTTACCTTTTTTATAAGGCCAATGTCTAACAGCATCAAATAAAATCCCTAAAGCATGCAGCATGATTTTAACTAGTGTTCATTCACAATGTCATTGTTGTCGGAACCAAGACATTTCTGTTATTGTATAATATGATCCAATGACGTATTAGATCAGTTTTATTTTCAAATTTGGTATGGCCTACTAGCACTAAAATCTCTAATTTCAAACTATGAAGTCTTTATTACATTAAACACCTATTTTAGGAAATTATCTTAATGTCCTAGTTTTATGGTTTTATCAGGATTTCATCATTTTACAGTGTGATTATTCTTTCCTTTGAAGATCCTAATAATGAGATGAAAATATATTCAAGAGCAGAGTGTTTCCATAAACATTTTGGGGAGGACTGTGATTAGATTTTTCCCTAATTTCTTCAAACTTAGTATTTAGACAGTAAAAGATAGGGCTTTACTCCAAATATTATGGACTCACAGACTACACTAAGCTTGACATTCCATGGCTGGAGAGATAGAGTAACAGCACCTAGTACAAAAGGTTTCATATTAGAGGGCACACGTGGGTGTGTCATAATGAAGCAAAATGCCTGAGAATTGTTTGGTTACCTTTTTGTTTGTTTTCATGTTCAAGGTCATCTGAAGTCTAAATTAGAGAGAAAGAAATGATTTGTTTACTTCTCTAGAGGGAAAATTCTAAATTTATTAGTTGTACATTTAAAATATTTAAATAACTAACTGTGAATTTGTTGTTCTGTGTAATTGTTTTGATGGGAAATTATTGATAACATAAAGCCATGAACAAAAACAAGTACTGAAAGATACGATGATCTCACTGACTTATACTCCAAAGAGGTCATCTTAATGCTTCTTCCTCCTTTGTTGACAGTCTTTATCTACTTAGATAACTCATTACAAAATTTCAGTAATGATTTAGTAATGGGGCTTGGGAAATGAATAATCAATGTGGCCACTCTCCCCATATTTAATAGGCTGCAAGCATGAAGAGTCACTCTTCAGTAAGTGAACATTCATACTTGCATATTTTCTATGGACTTAATGTTTGTGTCCCAATAAATTTTTATGTTGAAACCCTAATGCCCTATGTGACAGTACAGACACTCTCCAACTTAATGATGGTTTGATCTGGGATATTTTTTAACTTTATGATGATGCAAAAGTGATATACATTTCGATTTTGGTCTTTTCTTGTGCAAGGAGTAGGTGGTATGAGGTACTCCTGTGATGCAGGCAGATGTGATGCAGGGCAGAGGTAATGAGTCACAGCTCTCAGTCAACCATGTGATCCCGAGGGGAATCAGCCACTACTCCACAGTATACTGTGCTGCTAAGCTGTAGTATTCAACAGGCTAAGTGTATTAAATATATCTTTAAACTTATGCTACTTTTAACTTAGAATGGAGTTATCATAATCCACTGTAAGTCAAGGAGCATCTGTATATGGAGATGGGGTCTTTGGGAAGTAATGAGGTCACAAAGGTAGTCTTCATGATAGAGTTAGTGCCCTTATGAGAAGAGATAAGAATTTGCTTTCTCATTCTCTCTCCACCATGTGAAGCTATAACTGGGAAGAGTTATAGTCATTGGCTGGCACTTTGATCTTAAGACTGCCCAGTCTCCAAACTGTGAGAAATAAATTTCTACTGTTTAAGTCAACCAGTCTATGATATTTTTTTGTTAAAGCAGTCCAAACTAGGAGAGAATTGATGAAGATTTTATGTAGTACAGCAACATTCTTCAGTCTTAGTAGGCATCTCATATTCTCAAAGTAGTTATAATTCTCGATATCAGCAAAGGTAGGGTGCAATTGTAGTATTTCTTTGACTTTTCATATCAGACAAATACTATCTTCTTACCACCAAATCCATCTACTCGAATCTTTGTCCACTGTCTTCACAGAGCAAATATTCCTGCTTCCATCAAGGACCATACCTTCCATCATCATGATCTCACTTACTCTCATCTCTTAAGGAACTCCAGGCAGTTATCTCTTTTTTCCTACAAGACTAATCTTTCCATTTCACCACTTCTAGCATTTTGCAAACAACCTCTAGGTTTATTCATGATTAAAATAATGTTCCCTTGACTGCTCAGGTTTCTTTTGCTGCCCTTCTCAACAGAATTTCAAAAGTATGGGTCTTTGCTCATTCATATCTACTTGACCTAGTATCCCTTTTTCCCCTATCACTGCACGAAACTTCTCTTCAAGTCTTCAATGACCTCCATGCTGCCAATTCAATGGACGCGCTGGAGTTTTCTTATCCAGGTACTCAACAGCTTTCAATAGTCAATCACTCAGTCCTTCTGTTACCACTGTTCCCTTGGTTCCTTGGTGTCTTACTTATAGTTTTCCTTCTATTCTCTGGGCATACCTTGCTCTTCTTTTCCTGTGTGCTCATTTAACTAGAGCTGCACTTGAACCTTCTTTTCTTCTTTCCCTATGGATCACCTCAGCTATTTCTATGGCTTCAATGCAATCTCTTGATCACTAGCACAACTGTCTTCTAAAATACATGTTGATAGCATATTGTTAGCAACTGATGGGGGGGGGGGGGGGTGGGGGGGGGGGGGGGGGGGGGGGCGGGGGGGGGGGGGTGGGGGGGGGGGGGTGAGGGGGGGGGGGGGGGGGGTGGGGGGGGGTGGGGGGGGGGGGTGGGGGGGGGGGGGGGGGGGGGGGGGGGGGGGGGGGGGGAGGGGGGGGGGGGGGGGGGGGGGGGGGGGGGGGGGGGTGGAGGGGGGAGGGGGGGGGTGGGGGGGGGGGGGGGGGATGATAGTGACAACAAAGATAAAAATGATAATATTAGCATCAAATCATACTTTACAGGAGCTACATTATTAGCCACAACTCTAAGCTATTTTAAGCTATTTTTTTTCATGCCATGAACATTAATTAGGTACTATTATCTGTCCATTTTTGCACATTAAAGAAATTTAAGGCACAAACAGGTTAGTAAACTTGCCCAAAGGAGAGGCAGGAAGTAAGCCCAGAGAGTAAGAGTCAAGGCTGTGGAAACTCCTACTTGAACTTCCCAAAGAATATGTCACAGGCATCTCAGACTGTCTGTCCCATTTTGAAACTCGAATTCTTTATCTTTCCAGTCTCTACATTTCCCATTAAATAGTATCCCTGCCTACCAGTTGCCTCCAATTAAGGACTCTTAAAGGACCATTCTTCTTCGTTCTCTGTCCCTCACCCCCACACAATAATTTATCAGGAAAATTAACCATTATCTGCTTCCTCAAAATATAATCTGAGTATCTTCAATACTTCTGACTGAAGGAGAAACCATTCAGTCCTTCTTGTTTCTACGATCCAGTTTAACCCATGAGGAGCTCTTCTCACTAATAGGCTATCTTTAAATGTTTTTCCCTACTTATTGCTCTTTATTTTCTTCTAAATTATACTCTATATTGGTGACCTTCACAATCTTTTTGAAACTCATATCAGCTATTTTCCCCTTTAGTAAATAATTTTCAATGGCACATATTTACCAAAATTGTTGAATCTCTTCATAGAACTCCAAAATCCTTTACTAGTTAGATCCACTCACTCCATTTCACCTTGTTTCACTCTACCTTCATTATCTTTGTTGTTACTGTTTTGGGTTCATATGCAGGGAAAGTTATTTTTTCTATTTTTCCTCTTTTCCCTTTGAGTTCTGGTTTCCTTATTCCCATTGCCTCATTATTTATCTTGTTTTCTACTTTGGAATTTATTTTTATTTTCATGTAAACACCACAAATTGAACAGCCACAATCAGTGTTTACTTATTCATTCTCTGTTTCCCCATCCATTCTTCCTAACTCTAGTAGACAACGAAATCGCCTATGGGAGAAAGCATGTTTTATCCTTTAGGAAATTATGGTCTAGGACTGACTGACAACAGAGGTTTATAAGACCTATTTTTCTTGGCTGAGTGGCTAGAATATTTTTATGTTTACTCTATATTAGGGAAGGAAATATATGAGTAGGAAGGACTGTTTCACTAGTGAAACTGGGGGGGTTTCGGAAGCATTTTACTGATGATATTAACTGTCTAAGCTTTGGGTCTGGGATATTGTAGCCTCCCAGCTAACCATAGTGCAATAAATAGTAATATTTAAAGGAGACTGATCAATTGGGTAGTGAGCAATACTAGCCATGACTAAATATCTTTTTAAACTTAATATTGTGTATGCATCAAATTCTGGTCACCAAGCAGAGACTTTTATCCTATGTAATTATAAGGGAAAGTTTAGGTTACTTGATTCTCTTATGGTTGTCACATTTCCAAAATTTCTCAACAGTTGCTATTCTTTGAGAGTCAGGAAGGAAAAGGGACAAAGACTCTGACCTTCTTGACACTGTTTGCAACAGCTTCCTTGTGACCCAAGTCATCAGCAGAAAGTTCATTTCCAAACTTGAATTCGGGGTGAGCTTCCTCCTCTTGGTCAGCTGGGTGAAAGACAAAATGAAAATCCATGAAGTCAAATTACTGCCATGCAGTTGCATGTTACCTATAATCTTGGGTAGCAAATGACACAAGATTGTCATGACCTACAGTTTGTGACCAAGCTTTGGAAATAACCCATCATCACTATTAAATTTCCATTTCACATACAGGTCAAGCACTTATTTTAAAATAGAATTGAAATGCTCCAGAATACAAACTTTTTGAACATCATGTCAGCACTCAAAAGTTTATAAATTTCAGAGTGCTTTGGATTTCAGATTTTTGAAGTAGGGAGATGGTAAGGTCTATCTACATATTCCAAAATCTCAAAAACTCTGAGATCTGAAACACTTCTGATCCTAAGCATTTTGGATAATGTATATTTGACCTGTATGTTTAGTCTAACCTGCCTAGCCAGATGTAAATTACCCATACAAGTGGTAGACACTAATAATTTATTATTAAAATTTTTAAATTATTATATTATTGTCATATTGGGGGCACATTGTGACATTTACAGAAGTGCTTACAATATATCTTAGTTTTTTAAAAAGTATGTGAATACATATTATCATTTCCTGAGTGTACATGGGTACACAAGCACGATTTTTGTATTTCACACTGCTTGCCTCATAGTCTTAGAATTCTTGGGTTTTTCCAAGTCTCAGTTTAGCCTAATGGCTGGGGGCACATGCTTTCATTAAGAACCTTTTGTATTTCCTACAACCTCCAGGCAGGCCCACCCTCTGGAATAATGCTTGGTTTTCTCTTGCCTGCTGTGCTGGCTGATGTACTTAAATTAGAGACTCCAGTCACCAATGTATAGTGGGATCATACGGTGATACCAATGTAATTACAGCCAGCTGGTTGACCATAATTATTTACGGAAACTAACAATCATGTGTGTAACTGGTACAGCAGAACTTCTGTGCCCTTAAAGAGAAATTTGGTGGAAATTTTCAAGTGCTTTCCTGCTTGCATACTATCCCATTTGGTTATGCCTGTACAAAATTCAATAAAAGCCCCAAGTATATTTTAGAATAACATGGGATTCATTAAAGGCAAATATTTTTCTATGTAGAGGAACAATTAACGTATGTATGTATAAACTGGGTAAGTGCTCTTATTGATTGTGATTGGAGTCATATTGATCCTCATTTAGCTTGCTGTGGGGTCAGAAAATATCACATCTTGAAAGACCTCTACAAGGAAAACTATACACCTCTGAAGAAAGAGATTGAGGAAGACTATAGAAAGTGGAGAGATTTCCCATGCTCATGGATTGGTAGAATCAACATAGTAAAAATGTCAATACACCCAAAAGTAATCTACATGTTTAATGCAATTCCCATCAAAATTCCAATGACATTCATTAAAGAGATTGAAAAATCTACTGTTAAATTTATATGGAAACACAAGAGGCCACGAATAGCCAAGGCAATACTCAGTCAAAAGAACAATACAGGAGGTATCACAATACCTGACTTCAAACTATATTACAAAGTAATAACAATAAAAACAGCATGGTACTGGCACAAAAACAGACACGAAGACCAGTGGAACAGAATAGAGGACCCAGATATGAAGCCACACAACTATAAGCAACTTATCTTTGACAAAGGAGCTAAAAATATACGATGGAGAAATAGCAGCCTCTTCAACAAAAACTGCTGGGAAAACTGGTTAGCAGTCTGCAAAAAACTGAAACTAGATCCATGTATATCACCCTATACCAAGATTAACTCAAAATGGATCAAGGATCTTAATATCAGACCCAAACTCTTAAGTTGATACAGAAAGAGTAGGAAATACTCTGGAGTTAGTAGGTATAGGTAAGAACTTTCTCAATGAAACCCCAGCAGCACAGCAACTAAGAGATAGCATAGATAAATGGGACCTCATAAAACTAAAAAGCTTCTGTTCATCAAAAGAAATGGTCTCTAAACTGAAGAGAACACCCACAGAGTGGGAGAAAATATTTGCCAACTATACATCAAAGGACTGATAACCAGAATATACAGGGAACTTAAAAAACTAAATTCTCCAAAACTAATGAACCAATAAAGAAATGGGCAGTGAACTAAACAGAACTTTCTCAAAAGAAGAAATTCAAATGGCCAGAAAACACATGAAAAAATGCTCACCATCTCTAGCAATAAAGGAAATGCAAATTAAAACCACACTAAGATTCCACCTCACCCCTGTTAGAATAGCCATCATCAGCAACACCACCAACAACAGGTGTTGGCGAGGATGCGGGGAAAAAGGAACCCTCTTACACTGTTGGTGGGAATGTAGACTAGTACAACCACTCTGGAAAAAAATTTGGAGGCTACTTAAAAAGCTGGACATCGATCTACCATTTGATCCAGCAATACCACTCTTGGGGATATACCCAAAAGACTGTTACTCCAGAGGCACCTGCACATCCATGTTTATTGCGGCACTATTCACAATAGCCAAGTTATGGAAACAGCCAAGATGCCCAGCACTGACGAATGGATTAAGAAAATGTGGTATCTATACACAATGGAATTTTATGCAGCCATGAAGAAGAACGAAATGTTATCATTCGCTGGTAAATGGATGGAATTGGAGAACATCATTCTGAGTGAGGTTAGCCTGGCCCAAAAGACCAAAAATCGTATGTTCTCCCTCATATGTGGACATTAGATCAAGGGCAAACACAACAAGGGGATTGGACTATGAGCACATGATAAAAGCGAGAGCACACAAGGAGGGGTGAGGATAGGTAAGACACCTAAAAAACTAGCTAGCATTTGTTGCCCTTAACGCAGAGAAACTAAAGCAGATACCTTAAAGAAACTGAGGCCAATAGGAAAAGGGGAACAGGTACTAGAGAAAAGGTTAGATCAAAAAGAATTAACCTAGAAGGTAACATCCACGCACAGGAAATCAATGTGAGTCAATGCCCTGTATAGCTATCCTTATTTCAACCAGCAAAAACCCTTGTTCCTTCCTATTATTGCTTATACTCTCTCTACAACAAAATTAGAAATAAGGGCAAAATAGTTTCTGCTGGGTATTGAGGGGGGGAGAGGGAGGGGGCGGAGTGGGTGGTAAGGGAGGGGGTGGGGGCAGGGGGGAGAAAAATAAGGGCAAAAATGGTTTCTGCTGGGTATTGAGGGGGTAGGGGGGAGAGGGAGGGGGCGGAGTGGGTGGTAAGAGGAGGGGTGGGGGAGGGGGAGAAATGAACCAAGCCTTGTATGCACATATGGATAATAAAAGAAAAATGAAAAAAAAAAAAAGAAAATATCACATCTGACTTTCATCAGTTATCAGCCATTTTGCATTACTTGTGTACTCTTAAGAGTCCTCAATATTATAAGGGCAGTACTATAAGAGATACAAAAGTCCTGATTGAAGTCAAAGCCATTTGGTGATTGAATCCAAGTGTCATTGCTCCCCCTATGGGAATCATAGCAAAATGTTACTCTCTATGCTTCAAGATACACTATGAAGGATGAGTGTAAGAATTCCTACCTATTTCTTTGAGTTGAAATGAAGACTAGATAAGAGAGTGATGTGAGCTGCCTGGCACATAGTTGGTAAAACAATGATACTAGTCATTATTATCAATATTTTTCCTTGTTAATTTATTCTATTATTTTTGTAGTTTGTGTAACTGAGTTATATTATCAGTAATACCTTACATGTTTTTGGTTACCATCTATAAAACGTAACCTAAATTAAGGAACTGATTTTGCTTGATACTAAGTTTTTTGTTCATCTTTTGAAATACTTAATTTTTAAATCTTGTTCAGGCTTCTTATTTTAAAAGTGTGAAATAATATAAGAGGCAGCGTTACTTACTGTATTTCCTAAAGACAGTTGCTTTGATATGTGTCTTCTATGTGCTCTATTACAATTGTCACTCACTTGGACAGCCCTAGGACTGTTTGATGAATAAAACAGAGAGGAAGTGATGCTATGCCAGAGCCATACACTGCTCTTAAATAATGTAGAAGCTCCTACTTCCTGTCTCTTGGGGCTAAGTTTGGATAACCAACCAGGAACTTAGCTACTCTGTTGTAAGAAGCTCAAAGCACTCAGAGGACACAAGGTGGTGCTTTGCTCACTAGCCTGGCTGAGCTCCCAGCAGACAGCCAACATCAACTGCCAGCCATGTGAGTAAGCCAACTTAGTTCACCCTTCAGATGATGTCAGCCGGCAACTGTATGAGAACCCCAATGGAGAACCCTCAACCTCAGCCCAGGTGACCCATGAACTATGAGAGACAATTATAAGTGGTTATTTTAAGCTCTAAATTTGGGGTAGTTTGTTACACAGTATAGATAACCATTACAGGCAGTATTAAAATTATTAGAAATCTTTGGCCTCCCTGATCCTCTCTGCAGTCATGAAAATGAAAGTAAGCCATATGATATTTTTCTTTGGGAGTTGAGTCAAATCCATGGTGAGCTGGTTATTTGAACAATTTGGAATTTGAAGTTAGGGTTTATTTGTTAGTTTTTGTTTGTTTTTTGGTGGTACTGGAAATTGACTCCAGGGCCTCAGGCATGCTAAATACATGCTTTACCATTGAGCTACAGTCTCAGGCTGAATTTGAAATTATAATAATGGCTTTCAGTTTCCAGTTTAATTTTTTTACCTGAGATTCTCTAACCCTATGTTCCTTACATTACTCTGTCACTAACAAGACTGAAGTTCATAGAAAGGTATTAAAAAATGTACTTTTCATTACAACCCCTACTTGCTACAGCAATGCTTTTAGACTGAGGGCCTAGCTGTGAAATTTCTGAACAGTTGAATGAACACAGGGGCAGGGCATGACTAAGCCATTGATGTGCAATGCCCAGATAAATTGGAATAGTATTTGAAAAAATGCCAAAAATACTGAAAGATTAAGGTTGACCACAAACATACACTTGAATATTAAGAATTATAATGTCATCACCATATAAAAGAGTACATGGACAGAAAGTCATGTGTTTTCTTATTTTCAACACAAAGTAAATTTTTGACATGTAACTTGTGATAACAACTCACCACTTTCTATTTCTTCTTCATTATCATCCTCTAAGATGTTAGCTGGGGCAGCCGATTCTCCAGCTTCCATCATGCTTTTCAAAGCTCAGCTGTTCTGGTATTAGAAACAACA